GTAAATTCAACTTCGAGCTACGGACAAAATAAACACAAGTCACCGCATAATATTTGAGTCTGCACGTGATAAACGTATTCCTATTATTATCGAACTATCTTAGTCATCTCTGTTGGGCTAACAGGCACGCACTTCGTTTTTCCGCTCCGTCGTCTCTTTAATGAAGAGTCATAGAGTAATTGTACAAAACTGTTTTTTTTGGTTTGTTGATTTGATAATTCATTATTTTTTCTGCACACATACTTTATTTTGTGGTTAATAGCTTTCTATAGAGAAGATAGAAAAAAAAGGCGATAGAAAAGATCTGAAAAACTATAGACACATAACGCTACTTAATGTAATGTACAAACTGTTAACTAAACTACTAACAATCAGATTAACTACTAAGTTAGATAATTACCAGTCAAGAGAGCAAGCCGGTTTTAGAAAAGGATTCAGTACAAGTGACCGTCTGCTTACGATAAAAATATTAATTGAAAAGGCCAACGAATATCAAATCCCAATGTATATGGCATTTGTAGAATTTGAAAAAGCATTCGATAAGGTGGAACATTGGGCAGTAAAGAACTCTTTACAAAATGGGAGAATGGACTATACATATACGGACTTAATTTCCAATATATATGATCAAGGAACAACATCCATTAAAATAGTTGAACAAACGGAGCCTATTAAGATACGGCGAGGAGTCAGACAGGGTGACACTATATCACCCAAACTATTCAATCAAGCTTTGGAAGACGTTATGAGCAAATTACAATGGGAAAAACGGGGTATTAACATAAATGGCCAATACTTAAATCACTTGAGATATGCATTAATGCATCGTATTAATAATAGATAAAAAGGAAGTATGAACTACAAATGAATTATAATAAAACGAAAATTATGACCAACCAACTAGAAGAATTAATACAATTGCACAAACAACTATAGAACAAGTAAAAGAATATGTACATTTGGGACAACTACCATATATACATACATATACATACCAAGTCTTCAAATTTGGACGTTTACAAAGGAAAACATGGAAAAAATAGCAAAGACCCAAAGAGCCATGGAAAGGCAAAAGCTGAACATCAGGCTATCAGACAAGAAAAGAAATACTTGGATCCGCAACAAAACAAAAGTGACCTAAACACGCAGTCCCGAAGTGGATACAAACTGCCTACAATAGAGAGATGTAGAAGAAGGAAGAGGAGGCCTATGTCCAAAATTGGACAGCAAAGGCTGTATAGATAAATCTAGAGAGCTTTCTATCTTGTAAATCATTTTTATATTTAAAAAATTGATGTACTATAATCTGTATATGTCAAAGTTTGTCTATTTTATATTGTATCTTTAATTTACTAGTCCAGCCCTGAACAAATGCGTACGTCCAGCGTGCATTTGTTTACATCGTCCGTATCTTGAAGTTGAATTTACTTTAGATACTATAACACAAAGGTAGGTTTATTGGTGAATTATTTAGCATATATTAAATTTCTTCTGTCAATATGGTTTAGTAGTAACATGCAAGTAATTCATACTGCTACTACTAAGATAGATAATTTAATATATTTGAAAATGTTTTAATAAATTAAATCATTTTCTAGAAAAATTAGACATAAAAATTGACAATAGACATATAAATTAGACACAAAAATTGATAAAAATTGGTTCTCAGGAACTGAATTTCATGAATTAATAATGTACATATTAGAAGTTTAGAAAAATTATGTTAAAGTAAGTTAAACACGACGAATTTTACACCCCTTCATCCTTTGTCGATTATCTTATTATATCTCTGGTTATTGATTGAACTCACCCTGTCAAATGCTTGTATAATTTCATATACACTAAACGCAAAACAAAGTCGTTACACGTTATATTTCAATGACTAATTTCAATTGGTAATAATGTCATTGGTTCAGTTAAATTTCTTGGAAAGTGTCAATTGTTGTGGTCCGTAATCATTACTTTATAATGATATTTTTTTTTTTAATTAGAATCTTTCAATCCAAATACCTACGAAAATCCAGAAACACAAAAAGAAGAAGATACCTTTTTAATACGGTACAAAATTATAGTTTGAAATGCCAATGATTGATGACGTCACTGAATCTATAGCGCGTAACGATATTTGTTTTACTACTATCTTATATTACATTGCCTATATTACTAGAATTGCAAAGAATCAAAATGTTGATTATAAAGATCCGATACTACTATTACTACCTATACATGTATAATACAATGGTCTAATATAAAATAGAAATGCATTTTCTAGTAACATGGGATAAAATCGATTCTCCAAAGGGATGCCAACAATACAGGCGAATATATATATATACTAATTTCTTAATCACATGATATCTTTTTACTATATAAATAAAACTTAATCAGCTGCCTACTTTATAAATTTCAAGATTAAAAATCAAACTTGCTTTTCTATGCTGGATATTTTTCTTTAAAAATACCACAATTTAAATTAAATAAATAATGATCTTCATAGGAGTACTCATAGATTTTTATTCGGACTATACTTAACATTTTACATACACTAAGTTTTGGCATCCTCAGAGTCTCTGTTCAGATACATAAAATAAAAAAGTGGCACAGTAGGCGGTTCTGTAGACTAGCGCGAGGCTTCATACTATGTTTTCTGTATTTTTAAATTTTAAAAATTTATAAATTTTAATTAATATTTTTAAAATTAAATATAGTAATTTTATTATTGATCTATTATTTTTTTTATTTTACGATTATTTTACAATCGTCGACTTACAATGTTAATTTATTTATTTTAAAACATTTCTTGTACATTCGAAAGTAGATAAAAACGCTGTTAATATCCTTTTTATAGATTTTAATAAAATTAAAAAAGCGTACATATTTTATGTATAACGGACTCTCCTCGCCGAGTAAATGGACTCTTCCAACTATGTCGTGTCGCTAATTTCGTAACGATTGCCGCAGCATTTTACTATAGAGAACAATTAATAAAACGCCAGTATAGGAGCTTCGCTAACATTCAATTAAAGGATGGTGCGAACACATAATATTTTTTGCAATTTTACTTGCTTAGTTGACAAAATCTTTATCACAGTAATGACAATTTCTGACAATCAGTGATATATAAAACTAAAGGTGTGGTGCACTTTTATTACATTCTTTTAGGTACTTTCTTTTTCTGAATTTTTGTTTTTGTTGAAGGAAGCCGGACTAAGGTCTTGTTTATTGTTTTTGAAGATAGATATTACTCCCGAAAGGCGCAATAAGATTGTTACTTCGAGTGAACAAATATCAATGACTTACGGATAAATTGTGAAGGGGTATAATGTATATTTACGAGCTCTAAAAAATACGTTGAAGTAAAAAAAGAGACACGCGCGATTGATATAAAGAGTACAGGAAAAAGCTATGAAATAATGTCAAGAACATTAGCAAAGCAGCTGAAATCGTGAGGACTTTAATTATTACATGAAGAATTGATGTTTAAAAAAAACCTCTCTATAAACCCTTCTAAAAATATACTAGTAGCTTTTACTAATAAGAGGAAGCATAACGGACTGAGTTAACTAAAATTATTTGTGGAGGAACTACAATAACCAATGAGATTAAGTATTTAGGGGTAACCCTAGATTCCACACTCAATTGGAGCACTCATATTAACAACATAACCAACGGGAATATGCGACTATCCTGGAACTGCAGACGAGTTGTAGTTAAAACCTGGGACTGAAACCAAAGGTAATCTGTTGGAAAAGTTGGCGTTAGCAATCTTGTGCAACCTTTCTCACCAGCCTACAAAGACAAGCGCTTCTAAATATGACAGGAGCCTTGAATAGTACAGGAACGGTACCTTTAGAAACTATCACAGCCTTTATGACCATCCTCGGACTTAAGCAAACAATACTTGGAGGCCGAATTAAGTATTAAATAGTTACACAATTATTACTGAGACTATACTTGAGGAATCCATCTTTCAAATGAACTCAGATATGACGACACCAGAACTAATTTTCACTGAGAATATTAACAAAATTATACGGTTCACTAATGGCACATAATATCACTAACGGATCTAAAACTGACCGTGGTACTAAATCAGAAGTCTTTGAGGCAAAATCAATTGAAGCAGATATGGTTTCAAAATATATTTCCAAAAACTATGTATATAAAAATTATTATTTTCTCATTATTTTCTTAACCTATAACATAAACATCGTTTATTTCAAATTATCGCTTGCATTCAAGTGTTCAATCACAAATTAAATTCGTTACTTTGCAATCTTACATTAATCTTAACTTCCTATAATTATACATAGACATACAGCATTCGAATTATACATTGGTCCTTTAAGCAGGATCCGGTTCGAAAGACCAATTCGAGTGCCTTATGGCCGGACTTCTTGTTTGATAATGTCAAATAATACGCATGCGAATGACGTAACGTAAATTCAAAATGACTAAACGTATTAACTAAGGTAAATATTCTGACGGGCTACGTCAGAATTAAAAAATATGTTGCTCAAAAATAAATATTTTAACAGTCAAACCGTTTTTCGCAACGATTTATTAGCTTAGATTATATTGTCATTCAAAACGTCATGTTACTTTGTCTAATACCGCCATCTCTCTCATATAAAAAGATGCATGATACCTTGATATCAGCGACAAAAAATTTATTTGCTTATTAATAATTATTTTCAATATACAAAAATTGTGAATTTTCTAACCAATTCTTAGAATGCCAATCCATAGTGCAAGAAATGCGTACATCTCGACAACCGAACAACCCGAAAAAAATCTTTATCAGATGACTATAAAGATTTAAGTCAATTTATAATATTTAGCAATCATTTTAGGCGCCTTCAACTAAAAAACAGCCTATACTATTTGAATCCCTTAATTCAGAAAATCTGTAACAAAAACAAACGTTAAAATTTACTTCTTTTAAAATAATATTTTACAAGGCGACGCTGTTAGTGTGGCCGTTGACAACGATATCGTCGCTAGTGTTGTTTGGCAGCATCCTTGGCTGCTAAAATTAGTGGCGTCAGACTAGCAAGTGGACGCGCTAACTTCAAAAAAGGATGCTGAAAATTTTAATAAACAATTATAATAGAGAAATACAAATAAAAAATAGATATGTTATTATGTAATTTATAACGACGGAATATTATCCCACCATCAATTTAAAATCATTGACTTCAACCAATTCTGGATCTTATTTTACCTCTTGGTTTCCATTCCAGGACGTGTTTTAGGATTACACTTCTATTCATGCATATTATGTCTTCATACTATACCAGCTGTTTGTTTTGACACTCTTTACGCTTCTTTAGTTATAATTATTTCCCGCATTCTTTCGTTGGTTACTCTTCGTCTTCTGGATATCCCTGCCGATCTCCTCTACTAGCCAATTTCTGTGACTCAGCACCTTTTTTGCTTTTAAGTGACCAAATCTCACTACAGTAGACTAACTACAATACCCAGCTATCTCGAAAAATTCTAGAGTTTTTGGTGGCATATATATTTAAATAAAGTTACTTGGCAATTTCATAGCCAGTACATTAAATTTATGTGTAAATAATATATGATAAGGAATATTTCACATCTCGTCAAACTCGCCATTCCATGACACGTATTTCGCTATGTTTAGCTCGTCAGATAGACCTGCTATCACACCTGATAGATACATAACATTTATTATTGGACTTTTGCAATATAAAGGTCGAATAATGGCCCTGGGTGGTAAAAATATAACGGAAATTGTATTAACACGGTATAAAATAATTTCTTGAAAAATAGTTACAAAAAATAAACTATGTACTGAGTGTTTAAAATGTCCCCAGATACTGTTCAGACCACACATTAAAATACCGGTACCCTCTTTTAAATATTCTCCCTATAAACAGGAATATTGTTTGACCTAAATTCATTTTCATACTGAGCCAGTATATAGTGAAGTTCGATAATGTGTGTAGTCAAGTACCTTGGGATAATATTAGCTCGAGGTTTACTTGATATCAGCAGATAAAACGAATAACCAAGAGAGCGGCGACTACGTTAATGGTAGCTAGACGTATCCATGAAAAAATGTGGGGTTTAAAACCAGATATATTGGATTTATGATGGGCTAAAACCAACAATTACACATGCATCACTAGTATGGTAACCAAAGGTGCAGCAAAAAAGTACCATCTTCAAACTAAGCAAGCTGCAAAGAGTAGCTTAGTTTAAAGACCGAAAGAGACCCTATGGAACCAGCCACCTTTGCAGATTGCGATAAGTGAGGGGAGAAGGATATTATAGACTGCGAGAAAACTTGGACAACGTACTGGTTAGATCAGGACATAGTAACATCATAAAAGAAGTCAGAGATATCGAATGGATGATAAATTCTGACCAGGTACGGACCTAAAGTACCTTTCCAAATGGCTATATGACCACGAGAGGGATGGGACAAAGGAAACACACTCAGAGTCTTCCTTATTGGAGAAGCGTCAATCAAGGGACACACGCATGAAATGGGACTATTTCATGAGAACTTATGTTGCAAAACAACTTAACTGAGAACTTATCGCATGCGACAAACACTTTTTGTGAGTTGTGTAATAGTTTTTCTTTTTGAAATCTTAAAGATATACATACTGACAATTTCCAGTCAACTATCATTGATACTTACTTTTAATAAATCCCTAGCTGACGATCTCTTGTCAACCTCTACCGCTAAACAATTGTCTAGAAAATCTTGAAATACAGGAGATAGTTTTTCTTTTTCCTTAATATCAGGTTTACCATTAGTAGCGATGAGGTAAAGTGCTCTAAGGGGATTTTCATTTAGATATGGAGGTTCTCCTTCTATCATTTCTATCGCCATTATACCCAATGACCACACGTCAACCTATAAACAAGATTATTATTAAAAAAAAATAACAAAAACACAATTAAAATTTTGCTAAGTTAAGCTTTTGACTCTCCTTTAGGAAACAACTGTAACTTGTCATATGGAGGAGCAGAGTGAAGATATGATCGGGAATAAATAACAAGACATGAAAATGATTACTAAAAGAGTCAATTGCTCTACACAGTCAAAATGTTTATCATTTAACTCAGGGATAATAAAACCATTTAAAAATCTATATAAATGTTACCTTAGGTCCGTATTGCTTCCTGGTGACAACTTCGGGTGCCATCCAGTAAGGGGTGCCCACCATTGTAGTCCTTTTTGACTGTTCTGGGCTAATTTGAGCACAAAAACCAAAATCCGCTGAAAATTAAAAACAATGTTTAAAAATAATCAATATACAGAAAAAATATATTTTAACTAATACTCAGAAATTGATCTCAGTGAATAGTTTGTTCAAAATGAATTGCTACTGAAGTATTTTTTCAGTTTCAGTGTTTACAGAAGCGTCTGCTACCAGCAACTTCTGCGTCTGCATATTAATTGAATAGCCACCCCTTTAGTGACTATTTTAATGGACCATATACAAGGTAATCACACAATGATAAGTCGGGTCTATAAGGAGGATGTAAGACTTACCACTTTATACGTTAAAATAGATTTTGAATTGCAGAAACTACATGGGATAGAACACTTATCAAGTAAAAGAATGACACTACTTAAAGTTTTTTAGTGCGTTTATTCTTATGCTGTTAAGAAATCGATTCAAGGTATCTGATTATTGCTGTGTTAATGAAGATCTCAACCTCTTAATTGAAGATGATGTCCCTTATTGAGACTGATATTATTTTGGCGTTGGTGGACATTGATTGAAGTTTATATTTTGGTTCATAGTTATACAAGAGTCATCCTCAGCGCCATTTTGATGTAAAATAGCATTACCTTTTTATTGACAACACACTGCACAAATGAGATGCTTGCGTTCAAAAGGGGCTATATCCATTTGGAAAAAATGTCTAGGAAACGAAAAAAACTTGTGTTTTAGGAAAGTAGTTTGATGCAATTTGATTTTTATTTTTTGAGTTAACGTTTTTTGAAAAACATTGATTATTAATCTGGATATGGATAGATCCAGAAAACACATTTTAATTATAAAATTGGAACACAAAAGTCAAAACGAACCAAGAGAAACAAAAAATATTTAGTGAAGAGCAGGCCATTCATCCAAACAGTCACATTCTTCGCTCTCATCTACTTTTTTGTCAGTAGATTCCGTGTCTGCATTAGCGGAAACAAGTAAATCCTTATACCGATTTAGATCTGCTCGCAACATCTAATTTTCACCAAACAGCTCTTTCAGAAGCTTCGTAAGACTGGGTTTCTTCTTATCTGGTAACGAGTTTCTGGGCTCTATAATGTTTAGAACCAGGTTTCCAGATGCAAACCGATAATATAGGTGTGTATTTACTTCAATCTTTTGTTGGTGTTGATGTCTTTTGTGATAATAATTCTTTTTGTTTCAGCAATGCACTTTACCTTATTGTACACTTTATCTAGTTCCTTTATATTAAAAAGTTTCCAGTCGTTTCCTAAGAGTTTTATTTGACCGCATTCTGAATAAAATTTGACGTACTCCTCTTTAGAAATTACTGCATTTTTCCTAAGCAACTTCTCCACTCTCTCAAAACAACGATCAGCAGTGATGAACAAGTGATTGAAATTTCGGACACATCTCTTAGAGACTTATTTTTAAGCCAAAACATAAGTGCATGAACGATGTAGGAATGTTTGTTTTGACCTGTACACCCATCACAGAATAGTCGAATTTTCTTAATTCCATCGTAGTCAAGAGAATCTAGATGGTGAAGAAGCGCTGAAGTAACTTCTGTTGAGCCACGTCCAGCATAATCTTCAGTCCACATGTAGAAAGTTGTATTACGCAAAGACAGAGCGACATAAAAAAAAGCGTAGAGACTTATCTAATGCTAGTAAAAGCATTCGCCAATAGTCGTCCGAGGTAAAGGCTGTATCTGTTGAAGGTCAAAGCAGAAACTTAAACTATTTTTTGGAGTTTCTTTGGCTAACTCATAAAAGGCAGCAGCACGTTTGTATGTACGCGGTATTCCAGTAGCAGCTGATTTGTAATTTCAGCTTTTGGTTCAAATTTGTACTGTTGTTTTAGTCGCGTACATTTACTACACACATCCGAAGCGGGCGATGAAAACCCAATGTTAAAATCGTGTATAAAAACCTTTCGGAACATAAAATATGACACCCGATTTTGTGAGTATTCCTTATTAAACATTCTCCATAACTTGGCAACTGACAGACTTGCAGATAAGTATATTCTCTTTCGACTTTTTCCTATTATAATGACTTTCGCGAATCTTCATCTCTTGAGAAAATGTCGAAAGCATTCTTTTTTATTTTCACTTTTTTTAGATTTATGATCACTGCCCCTATTTTCTTTCGGAACACCACCTGCAAGGAGGACTTTCGCAACAGTATTAACTCAGTGGAGATACTCAGTGCAGCAAGAAAAAACTTTTGACATACCCGCGTTGCTTGTTGTCGCGCTTAATAAAATACGAAACACTAAGATTTTTCAAGGAGATGGCATTCACGTCAGCCGATCTATGACGAGCAATAGGAGCGACGGATAACATATGGCACAGTCTAACGTCTTGGTTAGTTTTGATCGAATCTGCATAAAATTTCTGCCTTAGGGTTTGGATGTGCCGTTTTCTAACTGTCATCATCATTATCATCCAGCCTCTATTTATCACGTCCACTGCTGGACATAGGCCTCCCTTAAACTCCTCCATTCCTCACGATTTTGTGCTCTTTGTTGCCAATTTTTAGTGATACGCCTGATGTCGGCCCAACGTGTAGATGGTCTTCCTCTACTGCGTTTGTCTGCTCTTGGCCTCCAATTTGTAATTTTTACTAACTGTAGCGCACTGAAATGATTTCCCATTATGTTGGCAACGCCTTTCGAATCGAAGCAGTGTTGGATCGGGATCACCATACCTGTAAGTGAGAGCGCCCACCAAACTGTCGTGGCAGTGGCAAGTAGCAAGTAGCACGCATCTAGCATGTTATTTTTAAATGTAACCAATGCAAACAAATTATTAGAATGAATGACGTCAGTATTATTTTGGTGAGCGCTGAATCATTCGTTTTCATTGGTTACATTTTACGTAACATGCTAGACGCATGCTACTTGCTACTTGCCACTGCCACGCCAGTTTGGTGGGCGCTCTCACTAAAATGCAATGAAGCTAGCGTAAAAAAGATTATATTTATATCAAACGACACTAACATAGCCAGTGGGACCATCCATATTGCACGTGGATCGTCGTCAATCGTCAACATTTTCGGAAGCAAACCAGCACTACTCCCACAAGAGTTGGCGAATAACTGATCGTCACTCAGACTCAACGAACGCCTTCAACCCCTACCACTCTTTAGTTAACGGTCAACGCGATGCGGTCGCGAGTTCGCCAAGTGTATCGTTACAGTATTGTCAGATGCACCACTATTTTGCCGTATTTCTGAATATAACGCATTATTGGATATAGCCACTTTTGATCGCAAAAGTAGGATATAGCCACTTTTGATGCAAAATGCCAACTTTACATGCGATTTTAAAATATAAATAGCTCGTTTTGAACGCTAATGAACGTGCCAGTTGATAGATCTTGTAAAACTTAGCCGAAAACCACAAAAAAAGCATAATTTGGAAAAAAAAATGGATATAGCCCCTTTTGAACGCAAGCTCCTCAAATATCTTAATGTAACCATCACTACTAGGATTATCACAATCATCAACCAAATAAAGAGCACCACCGGTTACTCTCCATCTCTCCCTCGATCCCACTCTGAGGTAATACACCAAGTACAGGAAAGAATGGTTAGCCACCATAATCGAATGAAAAGATGTCACCACATTCTTACGAACGAGACAGGCCTGAGGAGGAAAAAGAGCATCAAATGCTGTAAAACTACACATACGTTCTTCTTCTTCAGATGCAAATCCACTAATGGATGTTAGCGATCACATTTTCCATTAACTCTCTATTTCTTGCAATATGTATCAGAGATTGTATGTCGTTAATCCCTGTCCATTGCCTTATGTTTCGGAGCCAGGACATTTTCTTGCGTCCCATTCCTCTCTTGCCTTCAATTTTACCCTCGATTATAAGTTGGAGGAACTGGTATTTTTCATTTCGCCTGATGTGACCTAGATACGCCGTTTTCCTTTTCTTGATGGTTTCGAAAAGTTGGCGTTCATGGTTTATTCTTTTAAGGACATCTATATTTGTGATTTTCGCTGTCCATGGTATTTTTAGGATACGGCGATAAAGCCACATTTCGAAAGCTTCCAATCTGTTTATATCCCTCGTTTTGAGTGTCCAGCCCTCTACGCCATATAGCAGCACTGACCATACTTAGCACTTAGTAAACCTTAGTTTCAGTTGAGGATCGAACTCAGAACAAGTCAGTACCTTTTTGAATTTTACGAAAGCTTGTCGAGCTTGCTCAATGCGACATTTTACTTCCCTGTCCGATGCCCAGTCTTCAAAAAGCCACGATCCCAGGTATTTAAATTTACTCACTCTTTCTATGGATTTACTATTCAGTGTTATGGTGGAGTTTTCAAATGCATCCAAGTTTCTGGAGATGATCATGAATTTGGTCTTTTTGGTATTAATCTCTAGTCCCATTCGCTCACTGTATTCTCCGATTATAGTGACAAGTTGTTGAAGATCGACTATGTTGTCACAAATTAAGACACCATCATCAGCATATCGTATGTTGTTGATCAATACTCCATTCACCTTGATTCCCATCTCTGCATCCTCCAAAGACTCTTGAAATATGGCTTCTGAATAAATGTTAAATAAAAGAGGGGAAAGCACACATCCCTGTCGAACGCCTCTTCTTATATGTATGGGCTTAGATATAGAATTGTCTATTTTTAGCTGTGTCGTTTGATGCCAGTACATACACATACGTTATGGCTACACAATCTGAGCGAGCATTCGAAGTGGCCTAGTCTGTTACGGCAATACAGCTACTCACACCATGTGACCGTGCCGTACAAATTACCGGTATGTGCGAGTTGGTCAGTACCTCGCTCTGAGTTACTACCAAATTTGTTTCAATCCTTAACATAGCAATACTCCGCTAAAATGTTTTCATAGTTAATTTTTACTTACTTAATTTAACAGATCCGTCAAGACCTAACAAAATATTGTCAGACTTTATATCCCTGTGGATAACTTGGTTGGAATGGAGGAAATCTAAGGCCTGAAGAACTTCTCGACATACTGCGGCTATCTGCCCCTCATCCATACAAGTCTCTGTTACTACATCAGTCAGTGAACCGCCAGGTAGGTATTCCATAACCACCCAAAGTTCCTAAAATACAAACATGTTTTATTCGACGTTTATTAAAATTTTGTTATATTCATATAAGTAAGGAAGCCATAGCGTAACTACTGTTAGGAAAATTTTCCTCTACAAAATTTATAACACATCATTTGGTCATTAATTGTTATCATAAACCAAGCAATAGTTTTAATACTTATTTACTTTGTACTTAGTAAGTCAACAATTCGATAAAATGAAGTACAATATTTATAAAATATAAATCTTACCTCATTTACTAAATAACTGTCTAGATAATTAACAACATTTCCATGCTTATTTTCTCGCATGACTAGAATTTCGTTTATAATTAATTCTTTTTTAGGCTGTTGTGATAGGTTCATTTGTTTAATAGCTACTTCCATTCCAGTCGCAGTCTCTATTGCCGTATAAACTGTACCAGAGGCTCTAAAAATTATTAAATAATGTTTAGCATTAGTAATATGAGTAATAATAAAAATTGTTACATAATCTGTACACTGCATATTTTCGAAATTATAAGATTATTCACGAATTATTTTTTATTTTACATTTTTTTACTCTTCTCTATTTCTTCAGACAATGAGTTGATCTGGATTCTTTTTACCATCAACCAATTACATAATAAGCCAAAGCACTTGGTATTTTGTATTAAACAGTATATATAGTGGATTTGTTTGTATACTGAAAACATAATGGCTATCAGATTGAGTTTCATCGAATGTTATGTATGGTCCACTTGGGTAGAAGTTTGGACACTGAAAGCCCAATCCGTAAAAACATTGAAAGTGTGCCACTCAAATATTTATATTATTGAAGGCGTTATACGGGTTTCCCTGACATTTCAGAACACCTAACACATTCCTTTGCTTGCTTACTCCTAGTCTTCTTGACATTCAATTTGAGTTCCATTCCTCTCTGCTTGCTGGAAGAGTTTAACAGTTTATGAAAATGTGTTCGCTAAAGTATAATATCATCTGCTTATCTGATATTGTCCACAACCGTACCGTTAAGTATTTAAGATATTTAACTTCATCTTTCCTCACTAGAGGTTTCTAGTAGCGTACTCTGGTAATTATTTTCCTATAATTGCCTTAGTAGTTGGTGCCCTCTCTCTGATGACGGGTAGACCCAGAAACACGTGTAAGAGAGTGGTAAGAGACTCGAATTAAATCGAAACGTAACCGACATTTATTTCGTACCGTTAAGAGTATTTCATACAATGCTTGTTAAAAGATTTCTTCAAAGTACATGTTAAACAAGATAGGTGACAGCATTCTCTCTGTCAACTGTTACTTTTATAAATATATAAAAAATATACTATAACAAGTAAATAATTTACAAAAAAAAATGTTCATAAATAACGTAAATATAAAATAAAAAACTTACCCCTGGCCAATTTTGTCCAATTTAGTATACTTTCTATTAGGATCCCCAACCGATACGATACTTCTTAACTTTTCCAAAATTTCTTCGTCCGACATTTTCTTCTTCCTCTTCTCCGAGGCAGCCCTCGACATCTCCGAACCAGCTTGATTTTTGTTTTTATCGAATACTGGTGGTATGGGCGTATTGTTAGCGTTAGAATTTGCGGCGGCGTGTACGGGGGCAAGGTGCGAGGGGCTGAGACCGTGGGGAGGTGTGCCGTTTCCGGCGTTGTTCGGCTGAATTTCTTCAACGGGTTTCGTGTACTATAATATAAAATTTATATTAATTTTTAGTTAAATAAATCTGAAATAAATTGGTAGAGTGTAGCCGGGAGTATTTTTACAAATGTAGGTACTGTAAGAATACTACACTTCAAAAAGGGCCGATAAAGGAATAAATTACATGATTTTTTGATAAATTGTACGAAATATTAATTTAACTATATTATTATATGATTATTTAGTAAAATACTGCTTTGTTTGAGAAAGAAACTAATGTTTTAGCAATATTGTAACAAAATTTTACATTTTTTACGTAACTGTAGTTTCATTTTGTATAAAAATGTATACTTACAATACTTTTAGTGCGTTCAGGTCGACTGGCGATGGGAGGAGGTGGAGCTTCATCTTCGATTTCTGAACTAGCAACGTGTACAGGACTGTGATAAGACTGGTGACCTATGTCTCCTTCCGTAGGGGTAGTACTACTCGGACTTGAGCTTGATACTCTACTTAAAGTTGAACCTACAAACACTAACAGTTTGTTTAACTGTAATTTCAAACCAAGACCAAAGATTTATTAGTAAATAATAAAAAAGTAATATGCGACATCTACGAATTTTCTGAAGAGGATATTCACTTGGAACGTTAGGACTCAATCTGGAAAAATACAATGCACAATAAAAGAAATTAAACGCATGAAAATAGCAATAATTGGCACTAGCGAAATGAGGTCTTAAGCTATGGTGACATATAATACTGAGTATATTATTCAGGATCTGAAATTGGTAAATGTGAAAATAGGGGTCGGAATAATCACACAAAAAAGTATAGCCAAACATAACAGTTTTACACCTGTGAACGATAGAATCCCCTTGTTACAAATATTGCAGAATTCTACAAAGAAATAAGCAACCTTATAAGAGATATATCTAGACAAGAACTTCTTATACTAATGGAAAAATTCAATGCAAAAATAGGCATTTTCCAAAAAAATGGAAAAGGAGGATATATTGAGGATAGAACATATTGGTTCTCATGGATTGGGAGAAAGAAATGAACGAGGAGAAAAACAATAATATGATACCGCTATTGAATTAATTTGGATTATGTTGGTATAGTCGACAAGAATTTTGGTCAGAATGCGCAAAAAATTATTTATATGTAGTTAAATTATTACATAAATAATAAACATAAAAATTTACCAGATTATCTGAGTGCTAAGTGAATATCAAATAAAATACGTGACATTATGGATGTTATCAATGACATTACTTTTGAGAACGAGCCTTGTAAACAATAGTAGCCAAAATTCTGACGTGTAACGATAATTTATACTAGGCAATAATTTTTAGTATTGGAATTGAACAAAAACAATAAAAAAATAGATTTAATAATATATATTTACCTCCAGAATGTGTGGTGGCAGTTTTGGTCATATACTTGGTATTTGGAGGTTCTTTGGAACTGTTATCATACCAATTTAGAACGTCTAAAACAGCTTGAGGGTTGTTTTTCTGCTCCTGTTTACTGATGTTTGAATTCATCAGCAAACGCGACCATGCTTCCGGCATTCCCTGGAAAGAAACACAATAATTATAATAATTATAAAATATACATTTTATTTGTTATTAAAAATTCAGATATCGTCTATTTTAGGCAATTTTTTTTTTCTAAATTTTAAAATTTACTTTTAAAGGTTTACAAAAATATGAAAAATAATGAATTATGAAGAAAAGTAGAGATTTTTTTTGACCAAAACATACATTTTTACTTAATTGTCTCGCATGCATTGTTTTTTAATATTGTGAAAAATGTGAAATGCAATGAAATGCAACATTTCACATGAATTTTTAAAAGCGTTTATGCTAATACAGAAATAGCTATCGAAACAAGGTCGGGAATATCCGATAAAATTGAAAAAAAAACTGGGGATCAACTGCCTGAACATATTTAAATACATTATTATTTGCAGGTGACCAGTTTATCGATAGAAGAGACTGCAATATATACTATAGCGCACATATCACCCGACACGAATTTGGCAGTGGTTTTCTAGTCAATAAAAAAGCAAAGCAGTCATTAACTTTAAACCCATAAACTGAATATGTTATGTACTTCGTGTACACGCATCTAAGGAAGAAAAGGAAGACGACTTCCTTTCACGACTGTATTCCATTATGGAAGTAGATGTTTGCAATTTTTTGTATAATATTGATCGGTGTTTATTTTATACAGTAGGTGTAAGACGTCTTCGACTTGGATTCGATCGAAAGCCTTTGTCAGGTCTATAAAACATAGATATGCTGGTTTATTGTACTCCGTTGGCCTTTTATGTGATTTGTCTTAGTACAAATACGGCGTCTAGGCAGGATCTTCCGGATCTGAATCCTTGTTGATCATCTGATAAAGTTGTTAGTTTACTGATTTTGTTGGTTAGGACTTTTGTAGTAAGCTTATGTGCGGTGTTCATTAGATCTATACCTCTATAATTATTGGGATCTTCTGTATCTCCTTTCTTGAACATTGGTATCATTATGCTGTTTCTCCATGCGTCTGATGGTCATGGTATCATTATGCGTCTGATATCTTGCAATGACATATTAGTTTTTATATAAGTTTTGTCATCTCTAGGGTTATACTTTCTTCTCCTTGTTTTAGAAGCTCATTGGTTATTCCGTCTGGTCCTGGTGACTATCTATTTTTGAGTGAATGTATGGTTATTTCTACTTCCTGAAAACTGATTTCTATTTAGTGTCTTAATTCAGGTACGTTATTGTGTTGATTTTTATTTTCCCTTCCTTTAAACAATTCCGTCAGGTATCTTTCCCATTCGTTTGCTGGTATGTTATTGTATTACTTCAATTCTGCCATTTCTTTCCATTGGTTTCTTATGAATCTTCATATTTGTTTTTGTGTACCGTAGAAGTTGCTTTCCATCCTTTTTGTAAACTGTTCCCAGTGTTCATTTTTTGTTCTTACCAACTGCTTTGTTTCATTTCGCATTCTTCTATAAGTGTCTCGGGATTCTAGAATATTTGATGTTTTGTTCTAAGGAAGAAGAGGAAGACGACGAAAAAGATAAATTCTAGACATCTTAGACAAAGAAAATGATCGATGTTCACATTGTTATGTGAAAGTAATTGCTGGGGACCTTAATGGAAAAACTGGCCAAGAGCAATGTTTGCAACCAACTATAGAACGTGAGAGTTTACATGAAGAGTTAAACTATAACTAATTGAGATTAATACACGTTACAAGCATCATAAACGTGATTTGAGTAGGAGGAACGAGACTTCTCCATAAAATCATACATAAAAGAACATAAAAATCCTCCGACAACGAAACCATTGAGGAAGTTGCCTAAGCCATTAAAAAGCTTAAGAATAATATAACCAAGAACTGATCAAATTTTCTAGTGGGCACTACAAGAATGATGGCGGCGACGCCCTGGCGACTGCGTCGGGGCAACCAGATGTAGTGTAACAACTATAGAGATATAACACTGTTAACAACTGCTTACAGAATATTAGCAAATATTCTCTATGAAAGGCTAATATGTTTACACAGTGGGCATAATAGGAAAATATTACGTCGGATTCATTTCAGAAAACTCAACAATTGAATAGATTCATTCAATAAGACAGACCTTCGAGAAAAAAATTAAAATTTAACATTGAAACCCATCACCTATTTGTCGACTTCAAGGCTGCATACGACAGTGTCAAGAGAACAGTATAATAAACTATGCGTGAGTTTGGTACGTGGAGACTGACGCAAGCCACAGAAAAGCGGATTGAGATCGAGCGGATCGAGATGTGGATCTACAGAAGAATGCTAAATATATCATATGTGGACCATGTCAAAAACGTTGAGGTCCTACAGCACATGAGAAAAGAAAAAGAAGTGCCTAATTTAGAGAAACAACGTAAGCTTGAGTACCTCAGGCATGTAATGCGGAACGAAGAAAAATATCGAATTCTTCAACTCAGTTTTCAGGGTAAAGTATTTGGCAGGAAAGGACCGGGACGCCGTATATCTCGTGGTTAAAAAACCTCCGACAATGGTTGGGGATGACCTCCGTGGAGCTGTTTCGCAGAGCAGTCAACAAAACCATTATAGCCTTGATGATCGCCAACATCCGGACCGGATAAGAAGAAGATGACGAAGAGTTTGGTACACCAGAAAAACTTATCGAATTAAAAGCTTAAATACTTAAAAGCTAGTAACTTAAGATAAAGGATGGATTCAAACAAGGGGATACTCTGGCTTGCCTCCTATTTAATATTGCCTTCGAAAAGTCCGAGACTCACGTATGAAAGACAATGGTACTATTTACAATAGATCGATACAAATCTTAGAATACGCTGACGGCATTAAAATAATAGGGCGGAGCAAGCGAGGTATTGAGCAATATTTCCTAGCATTGTAAAATTCGTCGGCGAAAAAGGTCAGTTTAGTCACCAACAAAGACAAAACTAAGTACATGTTGGTTACTAAGGATTGGATGACCAATCTTGGAGCAGTATCACAAGGAGCGCTTTTTTTACATTGATTTTCAGGATTATATAATGTCGTCTGAAATTATTTCTTAAATTGACTGTTAGCCTTCAGTGTCCGCCTAGATAATATCTGTCACAGTCAAAGATACAAGGTCAGAAATAAATAATGCTAGACCACAACAGGCTAGATACAATCTCCGGAAATAAATTAGAAAACCGAAAAAAAAAAAAACATTTATGATCGAAGAAAAACAAATAAATTAATGAACCTAACATTCATTGCAGAATTAAAGTATAACAAAAATTAGGTTTGCATAATTAGAAATAAATAGCGGCAATAATTAGAAACTGATGAATGTTGAAATGATGAAATTGATGAATTGATCATAAAAATGGAAGAGGTGTAAAAAAATTGCAGCTTACAAAACTTACCTTACAAGCAATAAACTAGATAATAAAAGCCTAACTAAAAAATGTAACTAACGCAGAGGTGACGATAAAAAATGGGGTTTGCACATTCTTGAACCAACCACAATACCTATAGGTCAATCGAGAGCAATCAGGCAGTAATCTTTGAATATTTTAAAAATATATGATAGTGTTTTTTTCAATTGTTAGATCTAGTTACATAAATAAGGAAGTATAATTTTTGTTTTTTCTAGGACATATACAACTTCTTATACAACTGCTAAGGTTACAATAGAACCCGAAAAAAAAAGGATAAAATCAACCAAGCGTAACCTAGGGTGAAATAAGCCAAAAAAACTGTTTTTCCACATGGAAATATTTGGCAATTGGTAATTGGTTAGATGAGCACTGGAACCAGTCTCTTAAATTGCGCAGCCAAGATATACGTCATCTCCCCACGCTTCGTTTGCCCTGAATCTTTCCTTGGATAATTAACTGGTACTTTTTCCCTCTCATCACATGACCAAGATATTCCAACTTTCTTCTCTTGATGATGATCAACAGCTCCCGTTCTTTGTTCATTCTTCGAAGAACTACACTATTTGTTATTTTGTCTGTCGAAGGTATTTTCAAAATTTTTATATATATCCACATTTCGAAGGCCTCTAGTTAATTAGTAAGCAATTGACCACTTGACTATAATCTTAACTAATGATATATTTTTTTAATTTCAAGATCCAAAAAGTATTCCTTTAAATATATTGATTTCAAGTGACTCATCTCAGCATTAATAAAGACAAAAAATCACAGTCAAAACACACAACACTATAAACAACAACTACTAACCACAAAAACACAAGAAATCATAACAAAAACTATAAAGCACTAATATATCTGCTAGTAGGGGCAATAAGAACATTTCGCAATAATAGTTTGAAACATCCAACTCCAAAAAGATGTATACAAAATGATTCAAAGATAAAAAACAATAAGGACAGTCCAGTAACACCCCATATTTACGCTGTAAGTGGTCAATTTGGGTACTAATGAAAAATTCAAAGAAAAATGTAAAGATCACACAAATATGATTTACTATTTTTACTGAGAATAAGTCACAATTTTACTTTAAAATAAGTTTATTTTTGACATTTAGATATCCACTTCGGAAATCGTTCTCAAAATGTGATAAAAAATAATGATTAATGAGGGAAAATGGACAAAGATGATGTAAACTGTGACTGTGGGGAAATACAAAATATAGAACACCTTCTTACATGCAGAAACTGTCCCCATCAGTGTACACTCTGAAGATTTGTAGCTCGATACTGGACAGCTATTATATGAATGACATGTCCCGACGTGATAAAGTAAAGTAAGTTTGTTTAGTTGAACGTAATTAACAACAAAATAGTATATAAAGAGATCTAATTTAAATAGCTACTTGGGCAATAGTAGATGATCAATACTTAAACCAGTGTTGCCATACAGAGTTAAAATTTGGAAAATAACAAAAACAACATCAGCAGACTTGTAACTTCGGAAGTTAAATTTTCGGAAGAAGTAGTGTTAAAGGTTGTACAAGACTTGACAGATTACACAATGAACAAATAAGAAATGAATTAATTCAGTATGCAAACAAAAAGGTAAACTATAGAGACAATGAAGAC